ATGGTCCGTGTGCCTAACGGACTGAAGACTGAGACCGAAGGCGGCTTGATGCGGGTGACTGATGTCACGCAACAACACTCTCAAATTGATGCGGCCTGGATGAACGTCATTGCTACTGCTCAGATACCCCCAAAGAAAGCTGCGGACCTCGTACAACAAGAAGTTCGCAACGCAGGTACTTCATTACGGAGTTTCTTCTCGAAATTTGCATCGGCGCCTCCTCCGCCGCCCACGAAGAACGTCAAACCCGCGGCCGAGAAGACCAATACTATTGAAGAGATAGCAGGCGATTCGACTGGCACCATCTTCTTGCAAGTATGCACTGTGGTGGCGGCCACTAAAGTCTCACGAAATTTCGCTGCGGAGATTGAGCGCGCAACCAAGAAGTCACCTCCGAAGACGACCAAAATCGCTCTTTTGACTTGTCCATACCAAGATCCGTCAGCCACGCTGGCCACGGGCTCTGGCAGTTCAGCTGCGCTTGCCGACAAGATCTTTGCAGAAGTTCTTCCCACAAAATCTGGACGGATCTTCATCGGATTTCCGACTGCCCAGACGACTGGCTACCTCGCGCACATCTCTGCGCCATCTCTTATCCCGACGGTTGAGCGCGAGAATGTCGACATGAACGCTCGCTACATTTCTACCTGGAATATTGAGCTTCTGCGCGTTGCAGGGTTAGCCTGTCGCATCACCTACGCAGCAGAATTGGCAGCTTTGCAGACCCAATTCGGCAAGGAACCCATAGAGACTTTGATCACGAAGACTGCTTACGTGTTCAAACAATACACGGCCAAATCATCGCACCCTTCTACATCCCTTGGAGATAAGATCGACGAGGCGTTCTGGAATTGTTCGAAAGAACGATCCATCGACATCCTTTCCACCAAGGGCGTCATGTCCAGTAAGCGTGTGCGTATGCCTGCAGAAACTCTAAGTTTCCTGGGAGAAGTACCCATGGTCCCACAAGAACTCGCGAATGCAGCAGTCGACTTCATGCTCAATTTACACAATCGCGGTTTCATCACAGAGCTTACAATGCAGGATATTCGTCAAGGATTAGAATCACGAGCACTCAGCGAGGATGAACTCTCCGAGTTCCTAAAGTGGTGTGGATCTAAGCTGGAAAGCGGCGAAATCGATGTGCCCGGCTCTCGTAGCTTATTTGAAAATACAGTCGCTAATATCGACATTGAGCCAGAAAAGAACTCTGGCAGGATACTGGCTTTGGGGGATATCAGCACGTTCGTTAACCCAGCGCGTATTGGTGCACATCTACCTCTTCCGCCAGACACTATTCCTTTCACCTTCACCAGAGGCATGTCGATCAAACAACTGCAACTCTTCGGCTGGGTGGAATTGTCAATGGTTCGCTGGCTTCGACACATGACAACACGTCCGCAGCTAGACGAATTTACCAAGGACGAGAACCTTGCTCTCTCTGTGCTAACACTGACATCCAAGTGCTGGGAACAGCTCGATGGAAATTCCAAGGAGACGGTTGTCAAAATTTTGACCCCACACACAATCCTGCCGACGAAGATGGGCATGCGACGCCCGGCGGAGTCGTACTTTCCCACTGTTAAGCTCTTTGACGATCTGCCAACCGTGACACCGTTTGCAGGCTCAAAGGAGAAGTTCCTATTGGCGCTCGGTGTTCGGAAGACCATCGATCTTCCTATGGTGTTTGATCGAATGCGCAGTCGCGACGCGCAACAGTCCGAGAAATCCGAGAAGCCGACTTGGAATCACGTTGACCTTATCCGCTACTTCGCGTCGGTCATAAACGAAATACCTGCGAAGGATCTTAGTCGTCTACAGCAGACAGCGTTCTTGCCTGGAGAAGGTACTCTAGTAAAACCTGGCGAGCAGTTCAAAGCTTCAGACCTTTATGCCCCCGACCCGGCTATTGTAGCTCTAGGCCTGACTCAGATCAAGCTGCCTTTCGAATTCAAGCCCACTACACGTGAGGGTGTATTGCTGCTGCGTCTTGGACTACGACAGTGCCCAGATTCCATCACCGTCGCAAACATACTCCATCGCGCCGGTCAAGCCAAGGATCTCCAGCTGTACATGCGTGCGATGGATTACCTGTTAACGAACTACTACAAGAATAACTACGCTGTAGAGCATCAGAAGTTCGCTGCCCTCACCCTTCCGATTTTGCCGACAGAACAGGCTCCCTTCCCGGCGTTGGTTGGTCCGTTCCAGTGCTACACCAATGAGCACGCAGCATGCCTAGGATTTCCCATTTTAAGAAGCGATCTTCGGAGTCATGCCGAGAAGCTAGGGGTTCAGCGCGATCCAAGCATAGGCCCATGTGTTCAATACCTCATGAAGACACCTCCCAAGACTAAGCTTGATGCAGAAATGCAGTTTGCCTATCTTGCTTCGCGCGGATCCGAGTTGGATCAATACAAAGGGCTCATACAGAACCTCGCGACTTCCAACATCGTACCAATCTTTCGGAAGTATTACCTTGACCCCGCTTGCAGCGGATTTGAAGACAGATCCAAGAACCAAACTGGCAAGACCGAGATGCGCATCCATCACTACGATCCACCCGAGCATGTTTTCGTGGGTCGTGATCAAGAGTACCGTGGCATCCTCGATTACGTTCACTATGGCGCGGAAGCTACAGTCTTCCTTCTCAAGGTTGGCGCAAAGCACGAGCCGACTACTCATGATCTAGCGTACCTCCTCGCAAAGAACCCTGCTCGGTTCCTCAACACCATCGGGCAAGAGAAATATCTCGATTTGCTGAGAAAGCTGGCCGAACATGCTCCGAATCTGTGGAAAGATAAGGATTTGGTCAAATCACTTATAGCATCGAGGTTGCTTCTTGGCTACCGCGATATCAAAGAGGATAGCAAGAACGTCGCCGATGCAGGCGAAGACGACATTGATGATCTTGATGAGGACAACGTCCATCGCGAGTGGTCGCTCAATAAAGCTGGCGAGATCGTGATTATCGATAACGTCAACTATATGACCCGGTTCCGCGACTTCATCATCGCAGCCCCACAGGAAGAGCTTCTCGAGGAGTTCTACGCTCGTTTCGGTGTCCAGAAAGTCTCGGAGCTGGTCAAGACTGACCAACGCATCGGCACAGTAGCGCGCGACCAGACATCTGCTCAAGATCTTCGACGAGACATCCTGGAGCGTGTACGTCTCTTCCTTCACGAGTATGAACGCGATGCTTCTTCAAAGGCTATCAGACATGACGCCAAGTGGCTGGGTTCTAATCTGACGGTGCAATGTGTGTCGGATATCTCCATCCGTTATTCACTAGCGGAACGCAATGTCGCAACATCCTCACGTAAATCGGCTGTCATCATCAAGGTGCGTGGTACGGGATACGTGCTTAGCATCACGCCGAAATACGATCTTTACGAGGTGTCAAGCGAACTGGTAAGGCTACTCGTATCGCGGCCGAAGCGCAACGACGCGATCGCGCTAGAGCGCATCTTGACTGAGCCTCTACGCCGACTCCAGCAAAAGGGTATCAATGTCGAGCGTATCCTACGAAAGAAAGAGCACGAAGCGCGTATCGCCAAGCAAGCCGAGCAAGAGCGCGAAGAAGAAGAACAGCAGCGAGTTGCCGAACAAGCCAAGTCTGGTCATGTAAAGTCAGAGGATCGAGAGAACATTCCACCTGAGACTCCCGAGAAAGGCAAGCATATGCCTGGTGCGTTTGGTAGTCCAGAGGGTGACATGGAAATAGCCAATCACGGCCGTCAACCAGAGGAGCAGGGTCTCATCAACAACTGGGCGAAGAAGCTCGGTTTCAAGAACGCGCCTAGCGCACCTTCCTCTTCCTCCAAGGGTACAGACGGCCCCCAGATCAGTCGCGACATCCAAGCCACGAAATCGAACATCCAGAATGCTATTAAGGAATGTCGGCCCACTGGTATGGAGAACATCAACACTAAACATCACCAAGACCCAACGGAACTTGACCGTGGAGGTTACTGTACCGGCGAACAATGGGAGAACCTGCATAAAGCGTTCTCGGTGCCTTTCTCTGGCCGTCACGTCGACATCTACTACGGGCGCGACGAGACGGCGCCGCTCACCGACCTGCAATCTCACCTCCAAAAATTCCTACCGCTCATCTTTGGCCTCACGTCAATCTTCAGCGTCAACCCTGCGGCGGTAAATATCTTCCTCGACAAGAAGTCTAACACGGTGGCGTTCAACATGAACGGTAGTCTGTTCTTCAATCTTGCTTGGTTCATCGCCCTGCATAGCGACGGATGCCAGACTAAGGAAGGGAAGCTCACAGCTCTGGACAGTTGGTTCTGCACGTACTGTCACGAGCTTGCGCATAATCTTGTGGCTGACCACAATGCGCGACATAGCTGGTACCAGCAGCAGATTATCATAGAGTATAGTCAGCAATATCGAGCTGCACTGGAGAACTTTACACAGGGTCTTTTGATATAGATGGGGCATGTTTATTACATGGATATACAGGTAGAGTTGCGCACTTCGGAGTCTGAGTAGTATTGCATTATTATTATCTCGAATACGGTCAGACGTTCTTCTAACCTCCAACTGAGTTACCCTGTTGTTGATCTATTTAATACTCATTGTCTTGTCATCGTACGCGGTGAGATGAGTGCACTCACGGTGACTTGGGCATATTATTAGGTCTCAGATGTTTCGTGCTCGATTACTCACTAATCTCTCAGCAAACGGTTCACCCCGAACTCCGACGTCTCCGCCCCATCGCATTTGGGGACCAATCGCGTCTCTCACCGCACTATCACCGCAAACGCAATCCTCACAAACGGTGAGTACCCACCGGGTAGTGTCTCCATTGGACTATCCTGTCTGTATTGCAATTGAGGTGTATATAAACCTCTTTTACTGCTCCTCTCCTTCTACCCTCCACTCTCTACCCACTTCTCTTCCCTTTCCCCAACATCATCAACTTCAGGTAGCCCCAAAGTCCCTACACATCTCACTGCCTCGATACTGACTCCATCACAGCCAAAATGAGGTTCACCGCTCTCCGCCTCACCGCCCTAGGCTTCATCGGCTTCGCCATGAGCCAAGGCAGCGAGACAACCCTAACAACAAGGCCATGCAACAACCCCAAGTACTGCACCACAGTACGCACTCCACCAGCCCGCTCCAACGCCTACACCTCCAAGGAGACCACCGACTCTACTGAGCTCACCCGCACCATCACCGCGCACCGCCGCCAGCTCACCGTAGTCGAGTCCCACACCCGAGCCAGCGTCCACACCTCCAAGTCCATCAAGACGCACAAGCCTCCCAAGCCTTCCAAGACCAAGACCTCGGGTGACTCTGAAATCCCTAAGCCCTCTGAAGGTCTCTCGGACTCCGTCCGCCCGACTCGCGTCTCTGTTACTGCTCAGCGTCGCCAGGCACTGCCAACTACTGCGACTTGCACTGAGATCACCGAGTGGGACTCCAAGACCTATGCGACTGCGATTTCTACGCATATTCAGTGCGGACCGGATAAGTCTAAGCCTACTTGCTCTACCTCGTACGAATGTGGATGCCACTCTTCTGCTTTTACGCGGGATGATAATCCTGATATACACTTTTGCTGGCCCATGGCGACTAGCACTATCTTCCCTCCGGACTATGGTGGTGGACGGTCTCAGCGTTGGGTCGCGAGGCAAGCCAGGGCTACTCATGCGCCTCGGGCTGCGTCCCAAGATCTGGGTGGGCGGTCTCAGCGTCTTGTTGCGAGGCAGGCGGCACCGACATCGACTTGTTCTCCGGGCCATGTGGGAAGCGACTGCAGCACTGTTGTCTCACCGCCTAAACCTACGAAGTCTTGTCCTCCGGGTTGGGTTGGTCCTGACTGTCCTTTCGCAAGTCATGTTTCGAGTACGCCGACGGTTACGGCTACCAACGATGTTTACGCTCGTCAAGAGGCTGGAGCGGGTGGTAAGCCAGTCTACGTTGTCACGGTCACCCATGTCAAGCGTGTGACTGCCCGTCAAGAGGCTGGACCGACTGATCTGGTCGAGGTCGTGACGAACACGAACACTAAAGAAGCTGGACCTGTTCACCCGATCGTTGTCATTACGGTTACCAAGACCCACGATATCAACGAACGTCAAGAGGATGAGCCGACTGACCCAGTCTACGTCGTCACGGTCACTGATACTATCGCTACCACCGCCCATCAAGAAGCTGAACCGACAGATCCAATCTACGTCGTCACGGTCACCGATACCAACACTACCAACCCAACTCAAGAAGCTGAGCCGACTGACCCAGTCTACGTAGTCACCGTCACCGATACTATCGCTACCACCGCCCGTGAAGAACCTGAACCAATCGCTGAACCAACAAACCCAGTCTACGTCGTCACCGTCACCGACACCAACGATGTCAACGCACGTCGCGTGCCTGACGAGATTTCTGCTTCCATCGAGCCAAAGATGACGGCAGCCGATTATGGTTGCCCGCCGGGTACCTGCGGACCTGCTTGTCGTTCTGGTCACTACTGCAATAAATTGTTTGGTCGTGTGGCTGCTGGGGAGGATGGTGTTTCGAAGGAGCCGTTGGCTTCGGAGGAACCTGTGCCTACGAGGGGGGGTTAGGATGGCGTGGTGGGGGTTTTACGGTGGGGAGGTGTGAGGGGATGGTGTGAAGGGGGGGAGGAATGAGGATCTTGAGGGTTTGGTTGGAAGGAGTGGTGTGGTGGTTTGAGGAGAGAGCTTGGAAATGGTGGACTGAGGTCTTTGCTAGTCCAGCTCCTCACCTCTAGCAGCCAAAATTCCAAAATACCAGCTTTCCCACCTCTTTCTGCTCCCCCCATCTCCAAACCTTCACACGTCCATGTACACCTTACCCAGCCCATTACACCCCAAACCCCTCCAAACCCGCCTCCGTACTCTCAATCACAGCCGGATACACCACACCCCCCTGCCTCCTAACCTGATCCATAACCCGCATAACCACCTCCGTCTCCTCCAACCCCATCACCTCACTCTCCAGCTTGCCATCCCGGATACACCTCGCACACTCGTCTGCTTCCCAGAACATGCCATGCCCACCCCCAGGAATGCTCTTGTATTTATCAACGACCTGATACTCAAAGTCCGCCAGTGTCCCACGTTTCTCATTCGCAGCAGGCGTTAACGTGTACGTACGCGGTTTCGGCGCATAGTCGACGGTCAAGTCACCCAACGTCCCTTGTATCCTCACCGCATCACCCCCAGGATTAGGATGCTCCGCATTCGGTGTCGTAGCAACAATAATACTCGTCCCCGCCACGCCCTGCGCCCCCGACCCCGGAAAACGCAACAACACAGTCGTCGTCTCATCAACCCCCGTCTCATACTTACTAACCGCCGAACTGACAACGGGCTCTTGTCTCTTCCCCTCCTCAGGTTGGCAATGCCACAACGCCATAACCACCCACGTTAGACTATAAATCCCCAAATCCAGTAACGCGCCACCAGCGAGATCGGGGTTCACCATCCTATGCTCCGTCCCGAATTCTTTTTCAACATCATTCCAGAAACTAAAGTCGGCGAATACACGCTTTATCTCCCCAAGTCTCCCTTCTTTTATGATGGAGCAGACCTCGCGGGAGAGGGGGAAGAAACGCGTCCACACGGCTTCCATCATGAACCTCCCTTTCTCTTTCGCCAATTTCCTGAGTTCCTGGCATTGAGCTGCGTTGACGGTGATGGGTTTCTCGACTAGCAGATGTTTTCCGGCGTTGAGACAGAGGCGGGCGTGGTGGTAGTGGTGGGAATGGGGGGTGGCGATGTAGATGATGTCGATGTTTGGGTCGGAGGCGAGCTCGGTGTAGGAGCCGTAGGCGCGTGCGGTGGGGGGTGCGCCGACGGAGGTGAGGAATGAGGTGGCGCGGGATAAGGATGTGGAGGAGGCGGCTGCGGCGACGACGTGGCGGATATCCGATGCATCGCGGGTTTGGGGATTGATGAGGAGGTCTTTTGTGAAGGCTGGAGTGGTGTTAGGAAGGGCTGGTGGACGGAGATGAGGGTGTTGCACTTGTTGCTATACCTCCCGTCGCTACGATCAATTAGCTTTCTCTTATCTATACTTGGATTCAATTCTGCATACCCAAAATACCCCACCTCAGCGTGAATGGTTCCGAACTCATGTTTGCGAAGTTGTATTAACCCGATGTCGAGACGAAAGAGGAAGACAGAGATGAAATGATGAAATGGTGAATACTGCCTTTGTACCTCCATCGCTATAAACACAGCCCAATCCTATATGTCTTGTGCGCCCTAGAGCACATTCATGCTGCAGGTACAGGTGTGATGTGCAAAAGTAGGGCGCTGACAACCTCTCGATTAGAGTACCCCGCAGCGGGCGGTTGCATGTCAGAGGGCCTGATGACGCGAAAAGCGGAGAGACGGGATGCTATCCGCCTTGTCCTTCCATATCATCGCTCATCAAACTGTTGATGTACGCATCCGTCTCAACTTGATAAAATGATGCGTGGTATTCCGGGTATATACATTTTGAAGCCTCGTGGTCCCTCCACGTACCGTGAAAACAATGCTCCAGCAAGTGCTCGTGACCCAATACGACTCTCCATCGTCCTCCATAGTGTCGACCTTCTTTTACGGGTCGCGTCTTGACCCGATATACAGCTGCGACTGCGACCGCAACCATTTCCAAAATGTACCAGTTCGAGGTATGCCCTAGACCTTGCGCATGGCAAGCTTCTTGCGTGCTTGGATTGTGTAGGCGTAGAGGGCGTCCTTGAAAGCGAAGAGGAAGGCGGCGGTAATGACACTCTGGGTGACCTTGGGTCCGATACCTGTGACGGGTCAGCACATGTTCTCTTCTCCTTCGAACGATATTTCCCTTACCTCCATACAGGCCAGTGTATCCCTCCTCCCTGATGATGCGCCTGAAGGTGGTCAACATGTCTTCCCTAGGCCCGTCCCTGCCCGCAACGTGCATCCTGCTCTTGACAGTAATGTACGGGTAGGTGATGCTAGTAGCCAGCAGCTTGCCCAGCGCACCAAGGTAGAACGCGTCCTTGGGTGTGACCCTCCTCCGCTTCTCCAGCATCTGCTTCAGCTGCTCGAAGACGGTGTATTGCAGAATGGGGTTGATGACCAAGACCAACGCCGGCATGACACCAGCGAACAGGCGCGCGGGGCCCTCATCGCGGACGAGGGCGAAGAGCGTGCCAAGCGTCGATGGCGCCTTCTGCGCGGGTGTAGGTGCGCCCGGGAGCGACTCGTCGGAGGCTTCGGATTTGCGCGTCGTCATGCGCGTGTTGACGACCCAGATGGGGTTGGTCATGAGGACGGTTGCGCTGCCGGCGAGGGCGCCTGCCATCATCGACTCGACCGTGGTGAGCTTGGAGGAGGCGCGACCGGCTTTGAGCGCAGCCTTCTCGAAGAAGGAGCGAGTCCATTCGTACCCTGATGCCGTCAGTACTCTGATGTATCGCTCAGGAGTGTATTGTCGTACAGTAATAGTAGACGAAGTTTGTGACGCTGATGCCAAAGAGGGCAGAGTCGAGACCGGCGTAGAGGCCGGCGACACCCTCGCGCTTGATAATGCGGCGCGCGGCATTGAGCGTCGACGACTGCGCGCGCTTCGACTCGACCTGGGCGCGGGTGGAGAGGGTGATGAGCGGGTAGCTGGGGGTTGTTAGCAGCCCGCATCGCATCGTCGCGATGGCGCATACGTCAGGGCCATGGACAGCAGTCCTCCACCAGCGCCAGCCAGCGCATGCGCAACATTGTCGCTCTGCTGAGCCGCCGTGCTCTGGGGCACCGAGGAAGTCGACTCGATGAGCTTCTCCTGCGCCTTTTCCTGTGTTTGAGACATGGTCGGGTGTGGAATTTAGTCGCGCGGGAGCTGGAGAGGGGAAGCGGGCGGTTGTCGCGACGGGAGGAAGGAGCAGCCGGTAAGCCGATGGGATTGGGAAGGTGTGAATAAACAGTGAAGGAGAGGGTATCAAAAGGGAAGCAGCTTCAAGTGTCGTCGGATGGTCTTCGTCTCCGCATTTGAGCTGCGGCTCCGGCTGGCTTGTGAACGTCACCAAGCATTTCCGGGGTAAGACGTACAACCGAGGCAACAACTTCCCCCGATCTAGTCGCATGCGGTAATCCTCTCCAAACTACCAACATGTGCAATCTCCTCGCCTCATGCACTGCACAATCAAAATGTAATCATCACTCTTGATTGGTCGTTGCTACTGGATTATTCTGCAACTACCTCTTGTATATCCTCCTCTCTGCTACCCGAAACGGTACGTAGAGCACCGCTGCCAGCACAACTGCTACCTCCAACCCGATGTCGCCCGTAGTCTCCGCGATGGGTCCTGTCCACCAAATTTGTCCCATACATGGGATGATGAGGCCAAAGGAGAGCAGGAACGCGCCAATTGCCGCGAGACCGGGTGGCAGCTTGCTCGGCTCGTCCCACGCTTCTTCATCCTCGGTATAAGCCATGAAGCTGCTGCGTCGGAACAGCACGTGTTCGGTGATGGCGATGCCAATGAAGGCCGCACTCCAGTACCCGATGACGCCGATGAAGTTCTCGAGGTTGAGGAAGAAGCTGCTGGATGCCTCGACAGCAACGCCAATTACGATTCCAGTAATGACGATGCTGAAGAAGATGCGCGGGATGCGGAAGAGCCAGGGAAGGAGCATCTGCAGGTTTAGTGTCACGCTGTACATTGTTGCAGACAGGTTACCCAACATGCTAAAGGCAAGCACGACTGTGACGAAGCGACCAAACCCGCCAGCTGGCTGAAGCATGGCTGCAAGGACACCACTCGCTGCGTTGACGTCGTACCCAGCCTGCCATGAGGCAATGTTTGGCGTCGCACCTCCCATCGCTGCACCGAGCGTCATGAGTAGGATCGTAGGGAGTGCAAGGCCGGTGTAGGTGTAGAGCGCGATCCGGAATGGAGGGGCCTTGGGATGCATGTACGTCGAGAAGTCGCTCGCAAGTGCAGCCCATGGAAGCATGAAGCTCGCCACGAGACCACCAAACGAAAGGACCTGTGACGCTGTAGCAGCAGGTGCTGGGACTTGCTGGCTGAGACTGCTACCCCCGCATCCTGCCGCAATGATAAGTGCGGCCAATGCTGGGATCCATGCCCAGCGCTCGTAGTGATGCAATACTCCGAACCCGCAGAAGGAGATGACCAGCGACAATATGGCGATGATGACGATACCCACCGTGGCGTTGATGGTCGCTCCGTCCTGCACCGCCGACAGTGCCATACCACCAATGACGCTGTCGACAACACAGAAGCCCGTCAGCGTTGCAAGGTTGAGCAATATCAACAGAGAAACAAAGTATTTCCCGAAGGAAAACCTCGCCTGGACCAGCTGTCGCATACCCGTCTTCGGCCCCCACGTACACATGTACGCCACCGGCACCGTCGACACGAGGGTAAAGAAAAGAATAACCAGCGCCGCGTCCCTCAGACTAAGAGCAAAAGACATTGTGCCCACCATGCCAAAAGTCACACTGCATACCCGTTAGCCATCATGCAAGGCCACCACCCCCCAATTGACCACTTACGGCAACGGATTACAACTCATGCAAAACCAAAGCGTGAAGATCTTTGAATACTGCGTCTCTGTCCTATCCTCATACGGCACAGGCGTACACCCTCTGAGCTCAACATCACCTTTCTTTTCCAGAAAACTCAGCACCCCTCTCCACCCTCCAACTCTTTCGTGCTTGCCCACCGTGACATCGCCATGTTGCTGCTCCACTTCCGCGACTTCCTCAACCGAGAGATTCGGCCGCTTGATGTCTTCCTGTTCCCGCGAAGGAGCACCACTCCCCACCCTGCTACTTCCCACACCTCCATTCGGGGCGTCTGCCATCTCTTTTCCCGGACCCGTTGGTCTCTTGGCTCGCAGCACCGTTTTCGCCGCTCCACCCCGAGATATTGCGCGTGTAAAGTTTGTCAGTCGTGCGTAAGGGACCCGAGATGATGGTACAGACGCCGTTGACGACCCACTCGCTATGTCCGTCTACGGCGTGCAATGCGAAGTAATAGTGTGAAACCGCTCAGTCGTGTGATGCGATAAGGCCCGGACGGACTATATACCTGAATCATTTGCTCCACCCTGTACAACGTCGTTATGACTCTTTGCTTACCCCATAGTGGCGGGCGTGCGACTATCGCGAACAGAGATTTTTTGCAAACACGACATTTCTGGTTCGCGCATCCTGTGCCCGGCAAGGCTAGACGCGCACCCGTCGGCACCGAGCGCTGCAAAATCGTTTCAATGCACGAATGCACGCATCCCACAACAAAGGGTCCATGACGATCTGGCCCACCTCGCGCGCTGCTAAGCCGACAACCGCATGATAGCCGTCTAATAACCGCGCCTTTGACTGTCTGCAGCCGTAGCTTCAGGATGCTACTCCGACCATGACGGAGGTGGATGTGCGATGCGTATGCCGTGGTGTGCATGAGGTCTTGTCGGCAGCATGCTTGCTGCGCTGCGCAATGGCCTGATTATAGACGCGCTTGCCGACTTCTCGCCGGTCTGCCGGACCTTCCCCACGGTCTTGACCGAGATGGGCGACACCCGTCCAACCACACTGCGTGCGGTGCTTGATACTCCGACGAGGGCGTGTAGCGTCCTCGGGGAGAGTGATGTTAGTTATCATGGGCGTTGAGCGCTGCGGCGTCGCCTTGCATGAGGCTGTCCCTCTTCGCTCATCTCCTTCTGCTGCGCTCATATTTGGAATCTGGTTATGGCTGCCGACGAAGAGAACAAGCGTGAACCTATACCGGTCGACGAGGCTGCTATTGCACCTGAGCTGCCGGTGGAAGGTGAAGTCGAAGTCCCATATAGCATATATACCAGCAAAGAGAAATGGCTCATCGTAGCCATGGTCGCGTTGGCGGGGTTCTATAGGTACATTCTTTCCTTTCATCTCATCTCAAGACATATACAACAACAGTAGCTAACATGCATCCAGCCCCCTCCCCGCAAACATCTACTTCCCAGCCATCCCAACCCTCACGCGCGCCTTCCACCAAACCTCCGAAGCCATCAACCAAACCGTCACCGTGTACCTAGTCTTCCAAGGAATCAGCCCTATGCTATGGGGCCCCATCAGTGACCGCTACGGCCGCCGCCTCGTGTACCTGGTATGTCTTAGCATCCTCGTCGCCTCGTCCATCGGCCTAGCCCTCTGCCCAACCAGCCACTTCTGGCTGCTCCTCTTCCTGCGCTGCTTCCAGTCCGGCGGCAGCGCCAGCACCATCGCCCTTGGCGCAGGCGTCATAGGCGATATATCCACGAGCCGCGAACGAGGCGGCTACTTTGGCATGTTCAACCTCGGTCCTATGCTCGCTCCGTGTATCGCACCTGCGATTGGGGGCGCGTTATCGCAGGGCTTGGGCTGGCGATCTATCTTCTGGTCTATCGTCATCATGGTAGCGGTTTGCCTGCTGTGCATCGCGCTTTTCCTCCCTGAGACCCTGAGGAGCATCGCGGGTAATGGCAGTATCCCTGTGCCCCGCCTTCAACGCGCTATCCTCCCTATCGTCGGCCAAAAAGCAACGAAAGAAGCCTTCGACCCGGATTCCCGCGCTAAGGCTAAACACTCTGTTAATCCCTTTGTCCTCTTTACGTACCCTGATGTCATTGTCCTCCTGACTTTTACCGGGCTGGTCTACGCGGTCAATTACACAATCACCGCTACCATATCCTCCGCTTTCGCAAAGATATACCCTGAGCTGTCGGAGACGGTACTAGGACTTTGCTATTTGCCTGTTGGCGCGGGTATGATTCTGGGTTCTACGATGACGGGCAAGATGCTGGATTGGGAGTATAGACGTATCAAAGAGCGGTGTGGTGATAACTTCACCATCGAACACGCCCGGTTACGCATAATGCCCTTCTATCTCTCCCTCTTCATCGTCTGCGTCATTGCTTGGGGTTGGACGATACAGGCTAAGGCTCATATCGCTGTTCCCCTCATTCTTGGCGTTATGCTAGGCTGGACGTCGATTGGTATCCTCAACACTACCATGACACTCAACATCGATATTCTGCAGTCCCGCAGTTCGGGCGCGACGGCGTGTACGAATTTGGTGCGCTGCTCGCTGGCTGCTATTCTGGTGTCTATCATCGATCGCATGGCGAGTGCGTGGGGCGATGGCTGGACGTATACGTTTTGGGGCGGCGTATGTTGTTTGTTGATGCCACTTATGTTGCTGGAGATCAAGATGGGCCCGGTGTGGCGCAGGAGGCGTGAAGCCAAGGAATTGGAGGCGGAGAAGGCATGATTTGGTTGTTAAGAGGGGATAGGAAGAGGTTGTGAGTAACGGTCTTTGGTTGGAGAAAAGCATTATACCCTTTTGTTGTTAGTTTAGCATAGCGTTGCATAGTATCGTATCGAATTGCATTATACCACATATGTATTAGACGTTCCAGTCGCCAGTCGGCAAAGGTGATTTGATTCTCTATAAGCTTTTCTAGAATTGTGTCGCACTTCGGGTTCCCACTTTGAAACAAGTCTTCTTAGATGTAGTGCAAGAGTGGTTCAAGATCGGGGAAATCCAGTATTACGCTCTTTGAAGGATGCGCAACTACCACATCTGCACTTGTAATGTCGGAGACGCGTCCCCGAATGTAGTGGTACTCAGGCCATTTATGTCCATTCGTATCCCTGCCTGCGTTGCCAACAGGCAGATCAGCTGGCTCGAGGCTAGGTTTGATGCTGAGAACCTTGAGCTTCGAACCTCGGTCAGTCGCGAAGCGAAGAATCTGGTTGGCAAGATTTTGCATGACAACTTGACAGAAAAGCGTGTCCCGACCAGTTGGTCTCACTGAAGAGGGGTCATCGAATTCAAGCACTGGGAGATTGAATATCCGAAAGGCTTCCAACATGGGCTGTGTAGCGACTGCAGCCTAGAGCTTTGTTAGAGACTACGAGGTAGAGAATGCAGACGAAGCTTACCAGTACATGCGCATATTCCTCATCTGGACTGAAGCCGTCCTCAGGGTCTGAGATAGAACCCAATTCCAAGCTTGGCATGTCAATCGCCAACGTTGTCAACTTGGTGCAAGCTTTCAGTATAGCGGTTATGTCTGCAATAGGGAAATAGTTGCCGCCTTCAGTCATTCCACTTTGCATTATAAGCTCCGTGAGGGTCTTGCAGTGGACCAAGACACTGTCTCTGGCAACCAACCCATGCACAGACAAATCTAGCTGAAGATGGGTGAGCTTAGGACAAGTCTTGAGTAGCGCATCTATAGCCTGTACAGTGCGTTTGGGCTCTTTCATGTGGATGGGAAGAATGACAATGAGCTCTTCTAGTTGTCCGGTATTGCGGGTATAGAACGAGGAGATGCCCTCCAGTAACGGAATCTGATCGAAGCACCATTCAATCTGCAACCCCTTCAAGTTCGAAAGGTTCAGGGACTCGTGAATTGGTTGTTCTGCGGTTGATGCAAACTTTAGGTCGTAAAGTCGCAAGAACGTGAGGTTTGGAAATATTGGCTGATCTTTCGCATGAGCCAATATCGCGCATACAGATACGTCGTCAGGATTGTCAGTCGAAGCGGCATTCAGCGAAAGATCTCTGATCTTTGGGCAGTATTGAGACACAGACTTCATGCCATTGAAAATGCGATCCCCTGGTGCTTCATGTCGGTTGATGTATAACGTGATTGTTGAGACTTCAGAAAGTAGAGGACCCATCCACGTGTGATGTTCTTCTGAATCGAGATCGACAAGATTCAAAAGACCAGGAGTACTGAATGAACCCCAGATATCAAGCTCTTCGATCTTGCGTTGAGATTGTAGAAGAACCTGGAAGGTGAGGGCCGAGACTTCGCAATTGCTCTCGAAGCGGCGTAGTCTATCTCTTGGGATTGCTGTGATGACCAAGACAACGCGGTTCTCTCCGTCAGTCGTTCTCGCCGATTCACAAATGTCCAGCTCTCGAATGTGACCCGTAATTCCGGAACGTGGATGGAGTAGTGTTGCTAGAGACGAAGCGGAGGCATCGCGAAAGTTCATTCTAATCTTCTCCCACATTATGGGGCGTATCTGGTCTCTCCATGTGCGGCTGACAAGGCAGACGCTACTCTGGTGAGACTTTGATCGAATCTAGGTGGGTTGTTAGCGTTTCTTGTAGATAAGGCAGTCGCTACCACTCACGAACGCGAACACATTCCCGACCATTTCGGGCGGCAAGTCGGCGAAGGTCGCATATGCCATGTTGCATTTGGAAGGTCGCGAGAATCTTTCGAACCGTTGCGCAGTCGTGAACAAATATAGCAGGTGACTAGCAATTGGAGTGAGAGCAATCGAGGTGAGGGCGCGTGGCTCGTGCGGTGTTTGCTCCTGCACCGCCAAGACCTGTGGACGCAAAAAGGGTCCATCACGGCAGGCGGGCACAGGAAGAAGCGCAATGTTACTCAGCCATGTCTTATTCCGATTGTATGCTGCAGCCTGGAGGTATGTACTGCGCTCTCTCTCTTATAGATCCATTATCAGTACCGTCGGCGCAGTGCCTTTGTGCGCCAGATACTGGATGAGTAAAGCCGTCATTCACCGAGTATGAGTAATCTTCAGGTTGGTACTCAGTATTTGAACAGTGGTTCTTCTCGTGCCTGGTCTTGTCTTCCCTAACACATTGTGATGACAGTTTTCGCGAGCAGTGCCCCGTCACACCTTCCAGCCGCATACCTCACCTTTGCTGGTACCTCACATTCTCTCAAGCCTCAATCTCTATTTTACTATATCCACTCATGCTCACGTCAAGACCATAGCGCTGGAAAGATAATAAGCGACGCGGCTGCCTCCTCTGGAGTTCTTCAAGCGTATGCAATTCAGAATCCCACCATACGACGACGATGACGAAGACAGCAGTGCCTACACTCTGCTGATCGGCTGTGAACCAGAAGATGACTTCACTTTCTGCGAAAAGAAAGAGCCAGAAGTTGGACAAAGCGATGAAGTTCAGACTACTGCAGCGACCGTCAAGAACATCGAGGCTAGCAAAAGCGAAGAGAGTAAAGAGGGCGAGAATGAGAAAGAGGAAGGGGATGCATGTCCCACTGAAGACAGCGAGGCCGAAGAAGATGACAGTGAGGCCGGAGGGCGATGCATCGAGGGTCTCCAGTCCTGGTACCATCGCAACTTCAGAAGCTCGTTGCTTCTTCCGCTCTGAGCTGCATTGCGGTGTCACCGGGGCGAGGATCTGGTTCAAGAGCGCCGGGTATTCGACGAATCCGATCTGAACGTGCACTTGCACTGTCTTCGTCACGTCTGCTGCGTGGAACTACGCGTACATGTGTATTGGGCTTTGGGGGAATGGAGGTTCTTCGAGCGATGAGGCGTTTGTGAGCTCTTCTAGAGCTGCAGCGAAGTTGGTCCAGCTGTTCTCAGAAACTGGGTATGTCTCCGGCGTCGGCGCATGATGACGTTTGAAGGCCCTATTTAACCGTCAGCATAGGTAATCCACCATGCCCACGCCCCACCACGTTGAACTAGTGTCCTTTTCCGCTTTCTCCTACCACATAATACCAGAAAAAAACTGAATAGGCCTGCAGACTACTTTGAGTTGAAAATCTGCAAAGTAGGTGAGCTAACATCAACGTGGGCTCCAGGGTGTTCAGTTTTTTCTAGGGTCCAAGGTTGACGTGCTACCATGCCCTTTGATCAAGTCGAGTTCATCACACTTTTGATCGACTACTACGAGTTTTGCAATCGAGTGTTCTGGGATGACTCGATCATCGCACAAGCGCCCCAAAACGGCTGGCCATCAATTACACAATCGACGATGGCCAATCTGAACAAAACGGATGCAGTCATCGACCTGCTTCGCCACATGCCTTTTGTAGACTTTGTTGAGCCAGACAAAGCCTACGGAAAGCATGTCATCATGAAGAATACTCGCATCCAGGATTACCGCAGCGATGCGATGCAGAAACGGATCCGCGACGGGGATCTCGAATACTACGTTGAACCTATAGGCGATCCCTTACCGCCGTCATGCATCTCTTTCGGCAACAGCAACGGGCGTAATGGCTACAATCTCGTCATTGACACAGTCGATGGCTACGTCTACTGGGGGGAACCTTGCGGTCTGCCCGACGAGCCGGCGCCAGAGCTCAATGCCGTGGTGCAAGAACGCTACGCCGAAAACGAAACCGAGCGTTGGCGGCAGGGCTTCAACGTGTATCGCCCACGCGAGTTTTTTGCGCTCTGTAAACAACGGTTCCGCGAGCTGCGCTGGATCGGTCTCCAGACGGATATCATTGAGGCGGTACCGATGTACTGGGAGCTTGATGACGCGGACGACGAGTTCAAGTCGCTTGTGCGCAAGATGAAAAGAGCTGGGTGGCCGGGAGATGGGCAAGGCCGGGACTGGGACCGGGAGGCATTTCAAGCGGCGCTCGATGTGTATAGCGATGAAGAGGACGAAGATACTGTGCAGGTGGCGACAGAAGGGCTAGGTGACACTTACGTTCAATAGATATTTGGCGTTAGTATTGAGGGGTGAAAGGGTTGTGCAAACTAAGAGTGTCCGCACACTTCGTCCGGAGATACAGCTACTCTCAACACAACACAGCGCGACATCGGGAGTTATGGCCGGCACCAAGGAGGACCTAGTGCCGCCCATCGACTGCATTGACCTGTGCAGTCTTTACCAGGGCTTGTTCCAGGTCGCTGGATGTCGAGATGGAGTTTCGTTTGGTAGTGGCGTGGAGGACGGTATTTGGTTCGGATCCGGCTGCTGAAATAGGTAAATGCCACACTGCATAATGCGACGCAACTGCGGCTGTACAGCTAGCTCATCATCTGGCAGCTAACGTTCCGGCTTAGCAGAAGAAGTAGCGTAGCTTGTTGGAACGTGTATGTGTGGTTTCGAGATCTGCCTTACCGTGCGACATGGGCAGTTGACGAGGCTCACGACGCCTTGATCAGTCTTCTGTCGCACCTGCATGCTCTTGTCAGCACATCCCTGATATCCAAAATCCTACTGCAAATGCAACATACCATGGCGACATTGCCACCGAATTCGAGCTGTAAATCAGTGAGGTTTCTGTGCGTCATGGCTGGGTGTGGAGGTTGTCGGGGGCAGGTGCAGAGACATCCGAGGTAGCAGCAGCGTCGATGATGAGAGAGAAGGGCGTGTCGCGAGAAAGGTAGGAAGAACGCGCAGCTCTTGCAGTGTCGGCGTGCTGCCAAGACTTGTGGAAGTGAACAGAGTCCTTCACCCGGCATACGATAGAGCGCATACTAGGTTTTACTCCGATGTATTACACGCTGAAGCATGCATTACCCTCATCATTTGCATACTACGAGATACAATACATTTTATAACCCCATGATAAATATTAGCTAGAGAAGCGCCTGAGGATGAAGTCGCCAGGGTAGTTCCTCGATATCTTCTCCATCTCATCGCGCGCTGCACCTACTAGATTGCTGCCCGAACTATCTCCAACATTTCCGCGTGTGTGGATATACCAAGGCCAGAAATAACGATCTTCCATACCTTCTTCAAAATCACGAGTGTCAAAGGATTCGACTAGGAGGAGTCTCGGGACTGTACCATACTGCGACATGTGACTGAAGATCTGATCGCCGAAGTGTTTCATGGCAGCCTCGCACGACGCACGGAAGCTGCGTTCCTCCATCAAAGGCGTCTCTTCAAATGTCTTCGAATCATAAGAAAATGTGATATCAGGCTCGCTAAGTATTTCCATGGTATGAAGACTGGGATGTGCGGCGCATTGTGCCTACGATGCCAATCAATAAAGATACCAATACAAAAAGGACATTACTTACTAGTACATCTTTGAAAGCGGCACAATCCTACTCATTTGCGTTGAATTGAAATCCGTCCCCGACCTGTGTGATATATCCGCGATCGCTAGGTGGCAGATTGATGGCTAGTCCTCTGAGCTTTGTGCACGCTCTCAAAATTACCCCTACTTCGTCTTCCGAGTAGTAGTGCGACTGAGAATCCGTACTTTCGTTTCGGGATTTTTTGATGACGAGGTTACGGAGCGTTTCAGCGTGAGGCAGAAGACAACTTTTGTCGACAAGTTTGCCATTGCGAAGATTTAAGTCAAGATTCTCAAGTCTAGGGCAGACTTTGAGAAAGTTTTCAATGGATTCTGTGGTCTTGACCTGTACATCGTGTTCACCATCGTCATGGTAGGGATCAGGACCAGGTAGATCGATGCACAACTCCCTTAATTTACCGGGTGTCTCAATGTACGATTCTGAGAGACTCTCGAAGAACAGCGACATCGAGCTGCAGTCGTTGAGATGCAACTTCTCTAACCTTGCAACGTCGAAGTTGTGGGAGAACTGATATGAAGCATCCGGTACCAAGCTCATTGCCTCCATTTTGATAGACGTTAGATTGGAGAATAGGCGACTTTCCGGCGATAGCCAGAGCAGTCCTTGTAATGAGATCGGATCCTCATGTTCGCCTGACAATTCCAGCCTTTCGAGACTCGGGTAGAGGTCGATAAAGCTCTGCAGATCCCGGTAGACATCGTCGACCTTGTCTTCCCTCGTGCACTCTAGAATGAGAGTAATCTCCTCCAGTTCAGGCGTCAGCGATGCAACCCTCGCGCGGGATTCCTGGGAAACAATATGTGTGGCACGCGTCGAGCCAAGGCAGAGAGATGGAGTTACTGCATAGATTTTCTCGAGCTTGGTCTGCGATCGCAACAATTGCAAGAAAACCTCATGCTGCATGTCGCCGCCATAGGCCTGGAAAATGCGGAGTTTATCGCGTGGAAGTGCCAAGATCAACGACTCGAGACGGTTATCCGAATCCTCATCCGTAAAGTCCGCAAAGCATAGATTCCGTACATGTGGGAGGATCCCAGAGTTAGGATCTAATAACGTCGTCAAAGAGCGGCCAGGGGAAGAGCCTTGGTGATCACCCAAGCTGAATTCAAGCTTTTCCCACAAGATAGGAGCCATCAGCTCCCGCCATGAGCGGCTGACGAGACATACAATGCCTTGATCACTCCTTTGCCGGATCTAGCAGATGTGTCAGCGCTTTCTGGCTTGCAGAGCGGTAATGCGCGGAACTTACGAAAGCGAAAACATTGACGACCAGCTCAGTTGGCAGATCGGAGAACGTCGCGCTCGCCATAGTGGTGTAGAATCGTGAGCGCGGATTGTTGCGATCCTAGGTAGTGGAAGGGGGAAGTTTGCGCGTCGCGGGTGGACGGCTCAGCATGAACATGGCTCGTGCGACGACGCGTCAATGTGTTGCCCCACCAACCCCAGGATCCAAGCATGGAGAACTGCTCATCGTCGAACGTTCCCTGGAGCTTACATAGTATGCGGGTGTCGTGAGGGCGCTGTAATTGCGACATCAACTACTGTGAAATGATGGGATGGAAGCGCAAAGTCGAATCGGGGTCGCAAGCGTGTAGATCAGGAAGTGAGCAGGACGGGGCCAGAGCGCCAACGCGCCAACGTAGTGGGATGCGAGAGCGAGTAAGCACGACGCGCATCTTGTAGAGATCCAAGTCAAGTGTGAAGGCAACAGTTGGAAGCATCATCCAATTAGCTCCGAGGCTGTCGCTCCGGCCCTGGGGAAGGTGTGCTATTCTGTCACGTGACGCCGCGGCAACCTGGCGACCTCCGAACAGTCCAAAGGCGGAGACACACCAGAGTATTACTAATCAATTTGCACCTGGTGGTATTATGACACGCTATGTACTTGAGAGCTGAGTTCAATCTGGGCTCGAATAGACGCAGAAAAAGTAGCAGTAACAACCCGATGCTTGCCAGCTCGCGGTAGCTCCTTCTCACGCAATCTACTTAGCTGGCTACATACCCAACTCGCATACCAAATGCGTCTTTAACTTCCAGCGTATTCGACACTCACCTCAACGAAAGATTCAGATACTCGATCACGCCATACGCATCACGAGCGACTCATCCATGGCGTGCGGATGTCTATCCACGTGCGCCGTCATCAACTCCTCTATCCTCTCTCAACGCAAATATACCCCTTGTTGAACAGATACGCAGGCCAGCAGCACTTGTCGAAGAGCTGGTATCTTGTGCTAAGCCGGGTGTCGAAGACCGTGGGTGCGGTACCGTCTCTAGCTATGAAGCGCATGATCTCTGTTCCAAAGTGTCGGCGTAAGACACGGGTTAAGCGATGTCTCCTGGCATGATGAGGTCCGGGTGGGTATGATCTAGTAGCTCAATCTCTTCGGATTCTCTTATTAGTCTGCGAGGCCTCTCCTGCGCCAACATCATCTTCCGAAACTATGCCACGCCAGATAGCCGAGCTAGCTATACAAGGTTTACCATCATCCAAGGTAAAACTCAAAGGTATGGGTTTAGCGAGTGCCCTGATATCTTTCCGCACGACGGCAGGATTTGTTGGCCCGGTGCCGCGGCCGAAGACGTAGAATGCCTCTGCGGTTTTGTTGAGAATGATCGTAATTCTCTCGTCACGGGAAAGTGACGGCATCCTCACACTTGCTGATACATTATGCACATCTACCCAGGCTGGCAGTGAGAGCAGCGACTGTTCATAGTTTTCTCTGTTGGCGGAGTGGACAAGCTTTATTGCTCGATTTGAAGCTCCCGCGTCGAAGGAGATACTGGTCACACTGCCATCGGTGTTTTGCGTGGGTTGGTTGAGTGCCATAGACCGCGGCAACTTGTGTATATGCTCGACTGCAGACTCTTCAAACCCCCCTCTTGTAAGTACTTGCGAGACTTCTTCGGCTTCTTCTACAGCCTGCTGCCTTTTCGCGGCGGTGTATACATCCAAACCTGGGATGGGTTTCGTGTGGAGCGAAGGACTGTTGTGAACCTGATAGATAACGTTCGCGCCACAGGCAGAAAATTGCAGCATCTTTATCCGCGATGACAGTGCAGCAACGTAGCAGACTGAGAGACCTCCGGTCAAAGATTTGGAGGAGAACACATCGTGGTTGAGAAGAAGAATGTCGTCCGTCCCTGTTTCGAACGACCAGAGGACAATGTGAGACCCGCCTATCTGCGAAAAGTAATTGAACGCAACCAAGGGATAACTTGGATGGAAGACGGGACGGTAGATGGAACCCTTGGAGCCATCGCCGGCGATACAACCAACGAGTCTCGGACTGTTGTGGTGATTCGGGTCTCGTCGATACACCGCTATAGTCCCCGTTATGTCCTCCTCTTCACCGAGTGCCCCACTGCCGCCGAGAGTTTGATAAAGGATGTAGCTGCGACATGATATAAGACGGTAAGCTAATGTTCGATCCAGTCTGATGGCCTTTTCTCTTGCGCATGTTGGCGGCTTCGTCTCTTTGCATGCTGAATGTCCGCTACCGACGGTACACGTCGGTATTCCCATGAGCAGTGTCGCATCCGTAACATGTCTGATTGGCATTCGAGTTGGGGTCCAGATTTCTGCGGCATCTGCCCCATGTTTACTAGATTTGCCGGGCGGAAACTCTTGATGTCGATCAAATACACTGACTAGCACGATGATTGTCCGGAGATCTTCGCTGATGCTAGTTGGGAAGTGCAAGGCAAGGTCCTTGATCGTTGTTCTTGTGCCGTTCGATGTGTGGTCAGTGCTGACGAGCTTCTGGAATCTCGTGTATTGCGACTGAACTTCGATCTCGTCTAGTGGTATACGGCAGTCCTCCACAAGAAGGGGCTCATCGAATCCGATATTCCATAGTTCATATTGAGCTGCCCAACCATCGAATATACCGTCTGTTGAACGCCGTTTCCGAGTGGAAGATGATGTCTTCCAGTGGATTTCGAAAGCTCTGCTCTCCAGGTTAGTTCTCTTATTTGTTCTGGAAGTATCGCGCAAAATATTCGAGATGAGACATACCTAGAAGGCCATACTGTGAGAACGGCCAAGAAGTCTGTTTCAGGATCGTCCCGCGAGATTTTGCTCAGTGGTACCGTGCTACGCCCTGACCAACCTGGGGAGGCCGACACGAGGGACTCCACAGTGACTGCCCCAGTCGTAACGAAGAAGGAGCTAGATGTAAACGCCGTTACGTCTTGCCATATATGATGAGGCCCATCAATGAGTGTGTCTCCCCAAAACCGATGCAAGGTAGATAGATCTTCCGCAAAGGCTATGACCGCAGGTGGCACGTTCTGCAAGTCAATTGGAAGCCATCCGAGATCGCAAGTCTGAATCCATAATGCCCAATCATTCATGGTCTTGTGTAAGAGTTCGTGCTTCCTGGACTCCTTCTGGAAAGTGTACTTGAGCTCGACCCATACCATTGGCAGCAATTTGTTCAAGAGAAACTCTCCGACTACAGACACTGTATCTTCGATGATATCACGACATCCTACGAAGGAACTAACATCGGTAGGAGCGGCCGAGTCGCTCATATTCGACAAGTGATAGGGCCAGTGAAGTGCTGCATAGCTAGCAAATGGACGCATGCGATTCAGTGCGCCTATCTGGGCAGGCTCAAACATGCTGCCGGACAAAGGAGCTCCTGGTATCCTCCGACGTATGTAGGAAAGACACTGGAAAGCCAGTTCCACATGTGTCCGATGTGCGGGGGGGAGGAAGTAGTCGATAGGTGTAGCAATGACAGGTTTCCCTCTCCATCGGAAGAAGTCGTGGACCGATTTATGTACGAAAGCGTAGATAGGCAATGAGCTTGGAAACGATCTTTTCTCGATCAAACTGCCACTGAGTATGATTGCACTGCCCTCAAAATCGGTGAACTCCTCCTCTTGAGGTCTTGGACATATTCTCGATGACTTTGCGGAAGCGTCATCTGGCGATGGTGTCAATATGTCCTGTAACTCATGCGTCGTGAGAGGATGCTCCGCGAAAGTGAGCCACCCGAAGAGCTTTCGCGTCAGTGATTGTTCCGAGATTGCCTTCTTGGACAGAAGGCCAAGAATTCGGAGGTAGACGTCATCGAGATTTTCAGGGGTGGTTAGACTTCTGATGATGCCTAATCGCTGCCATGGTAAAAGCCCCTCAGATTGTAGATGGCAGATCATTAGTCGAGCCCACTGGAACATGCCATCAGCACCTTTCAGGAGGTTTCCAGTCAGTTGCTCCTTATCTGCAGAAGAAGGGAGCACACCACGATCTATTAGGCTTGTCAGATGGGTTTCGAAATAGACTTCGAGGTCCTCAGCGTTGCGCGAGCGGTCGATCGTTAATATCTGCTGTGGCTCTAGTTTCTTACGCAACCCTCGTACGTTGGGTCGGCTGAAAAGTAGAATCTGGACTGAAAGATCACCGAAGGCTTCAGTGAGGTCTGATAGCAGATTATCCTCATCTCCACACTCGTCTAGAGCATCGATCACTATAAACCAGACACCGACACGGCTGACAAGAGTTCTCATAGCGTCCAGGAGTTCTCTCTTTGTCGCAACCTGTTGTCCGTGTCTGGCTTTCGTGTTGATAGCGAAGGAGAATAATTCCAAGACGTCCCGGTCGTTCTGAAACTGGTGAAAAAGCTGAGCCAATATCGAGCGATATGCTTTGTCGCAACTGGCACTCTTTCCGTTCTCTGAACCGTGCTCAAAGAAATAGTATGTGATCAGGGGAGTGGAGTTTTGGTGGATATCGACACTTTCCAGTAGTTGTTGCACAACAGAGGCTGCCACTACGCTTTTGCCAGTTCCCGGATTTCCTGCGTCTTATGAGTTTGCTGCCCTATCGAGGTAGATTACCATGGACTGACCTCGAACCCATAGAAAATGAGCCATGGGTTTTACAGCCCAGATTGTGATGCTTGCGTTTGACCATGATGTGTACTCTTTGGTGTGGAAGATCCATTCTGCGGTGCCTTCCAGACGTTTCTGACTAATCCATTCGAAAGTGTTGGCAAATTCTGGAGAATTGATCCACGCCCTAACCCTTTCGCAAAGCAGTCCTAAAGTTGGTAAGCAACCTTTCGTTTCCATAGATGGAGTGCCTACCGTGTTCGTGACTACTGAATTGTTTTTGCATGCCGTCTAACGTCACATCATAGCTGTTCAGGTGATTTTGGATGTCGGTCTGGTAGTGTTGCATCATTTTTTGACTGTCGAGTATCATTGTCTCTTTATCAAGAGACTTGACGGAAGCTTTGAGGTTCAGTAATTCGATCTCCGACTTGAGAATTGCTCGATGATGATCAAGTCGTTGTAAGATGTTGGCGAACCGTACGTTGAATGGCTGCCAAAGTAATTGAGCAATGACCACAGGTGACTTCTTGATTTCTGCTGTAGTTAGTCAGCGTCCTATGCGAGCAGAACCACCACTTACTTCCGTTTTGTTGTGTGAACAGCCGAGTGATGCACTTCAATATCTCGAATAGATCGAAGTAGAAGGCACGAAGAGATTTTGAAAACTCATCGGATACATATACCTCCAATTTCAACTTTCCCAACAGCTTTGAGAGCTCGTTGTACGCTGGTATTCTCTTGGAAAGCTCCTCGAGAAGATGGCTAAGTTTGTCGAAGAAAGTTCCATAGTTGCTAGCTAACTGTGGTTTGTTAGTTACTGTCCTTGAGCAGTCATGATGGCTGGTAGTGCATACCGATAGCACCAGTCGGAAGGAACCCCATGCAAGCGCAGCAATCTCTGGATGAGATTGGACCAATATGCCCACCACATCGAAATAGGGCGCCAAATGGGTCCCACATCTCTCCACGCTGCCGAGAAACTTCGACCACCTCTTGTTTGATTTGCGAAAATCTCCTAGAGTTCCCAAAGCTTTGAGAAATGCTGCGTAATCTTTGATAGCGACGAATTGGTTCTTCTCTTCGTCAGAGAGTTGATCAAGGAACTGTGTATGAGCGTCCTGAAATTCAGCCATAACCTAGCTCTATGATGCTTGGCGATAACTGCGCTGATGAGATTGGACTGATCGGTTCGTGGTTGAATGGGATGTATCATCTTTATGGCGTGTGAAGGCATGAGGCTATGCAACCGCTCTAACGCGTGAAGACAGGAGGCGGTGCACCCGCTCTACTGCCCCATAATCACACCACCTGAGGCTGTGTCTGTCTGCCTTGCGGACCATTGGATAGAATCTGCGAACACGTACTGATAAACTTCTCCATACTCATTCTCTTGGATATGACGAGTGTTCACGCCGGTCGAGCTGTAGTCTTTTCTATAGTGAACGAGCTGATGGTTCAGGTATTTTAAAGGCGTTCTTTACCCCGCTACCGTATTCGTGCACCTGACGATCGCTCCGAGCCCTGAGCACTACTAAGAAAATGACGTTGTAGAGCTACATACAATAGCTATGTTACAAGACAGGTTCGAGGAGTACTGTGTAGGCTTATACAAACAACCTTCGCTGCAGAATCTATCGAAACAATGTCGCCGTACGTCCGCTGCGGGTTGTGTGAGCGCGCGCCGGCGGAGGAGGCGTCGCAGGCGTCGGGCGACTGTGAGCACCCACGGCACCATGCGCAAGCTTCAGATTGGCTGCAGAAGCTTTTAATGCTGTAGATTTGCCTCCCTGGGACTGTTGTAAGGCTTTTACAGAGTTGCGAGCATGTTTATTGAACAGTTCTCGGTGCGATACATCCACCGTGAGTCTGTTAAGCTTCAGACTTGTCTTTAGAAGGCACTCAATGGGCTGTATACCATGGCCAGGATCCGCCAGATTCTAATAGAGGTAGATCTCCAGATGAGACAGATCTCGGTTGACATTGGTGGCATGTTCAACTCCGAGTCAGTACAGAAAGACAGCCATTTGGTCGTAGCCAAACAGTGACAACGCACACAGATTCGCTAGTTCGATGTCGTTGAACGACTTCTTAATAACTTTCTCGAGATTGACTCATTTCAGAGTTAGTCGGGTGAGGCTGGTGAATTTTTGCTATAGTTGATCTTCTTGTAGGATAAGGCGCATGTCCAGCCTTGTCATCGACTCGAAGTACCTAGTTCAACAGACGACAGACAATTTCCTGGGTCCGAGAAGGTACTTGATCAAATCGCGGTAGAAGTGAGAAGTTCGCGCACTCAGCTCTTGGCGCACAGAAGCGTACGTAGCTAGCCCAGTGAGGTCGGTGACGAGAGCTCGCATCCAGACATGGCTTTAGGAACCAGTAGCAGACTCGCCATTTGCTGAGGGGTAACTGTAATCTAGCCCTAGAGGTATACACATGGGCGTCACTGTCATAGTCCTGGGACCACCGACGTGCTTGCTGCCTTCGATTCACTGGGCCGAACAATATCTGACAGCTTTACTCGTCACGAGAGGTATGTGCAGCATTCTGGAGCAACGTAAGCAGGGTACTGAACATCGTTAGAGATACAGAGTAGCCGAATATGGTGACGGGGTTCGGAAGTACGCTTGGAGATTTCGGCCGGTGTCAACACTTCAGAGGAGATCCTGACCGTCTCATGGTTTCTTGACGATGTGATGAGCACACTAGAATCGTGTTTAGTCAATAGGAAGATTCGGCTTGATGGAGACCATTGAGAATTGTGTTAAAGCTGACTGCTTCCAAGGACAGACATTCGAAAGACTGGTCAAGGGTCTGCAACTTTGAGGTTTAGCTTGCGGTACGTCAATGACAACGCTACATCCACTCTACCCTGCGTCTTGTTCGCACCATGATACCGTCTTAGACTCGACGCGGCGCGACACGAGTATTCGCCCCAGAGAGGTCGTAGTCGGTGTAGTGGCAATATTCCAAGAGCGAGGTTCGGCCGGGGCACACCAGTTACAGTGGCAGGTACGACCAAAAGGGCTTGGGATGACTGCCACTCGATAGGCATTGTCGCATATTCAGTGTAGAGCGTAAATAGGCAGCCAGTGAGCGTGCAGAGCAGCGGTGGTAGGGGTTCGGATGGTGCAGCGACATGGGTGTGGTGAGCAGTGGTGCGTCGGCTGAGCCAAAAATAGACGGACGATGCTGGGGTACCGCTCAGCTGGCATAACTGACCAAAATGCCCCGAAGCAGGCAGGCACGACCCGCCATAGCACCTGAACGACCGCAAATTACCACCCGCTGGACCCTCGACGACGCGACTCCATAGCGCGCTGCCACGGCAAACGACGTAATCGCCCTCTCGCGACTGCCCTGACCGAGCGACGGCGCTGGGCGCATCGCATCCTATCGTTGGACCTCTTCGCGCTGCACTCGCCGGCTCCGCTGCGACAGCAGGCGCTGCTGAGGACTCCCCTTGGGGCCAGAAGAAGCAAACCTCGGGACTGGCTCTATATCCATGGCCTGCCATTGGCATTAGCGCGGCCGCGAATCATCTCGACGCCCTCATGGCATGCTGACGGGCCGAGGAAGCAGCAGAGCGCGTTACACTGTGGAGAACCATGCAGGTCGACTTTGGCGACGAGGGAGAGACGGAGCACAGCCTGCACCTGACAGCCAACGCCCACCAGCACTACGAACACGCGGGGCCTGGCAGCGGGCCGGCCTACTCGCCCTTCCGGCACCCAGGCGGCGGTGGTGTAGCAGCAATTGATCCGGGACTGGAGCAGAGCACAGGTGCCAGCCGCAATGTGCACACGCCCATTCCCCAGTCCAGTCACCTACTTCAGCCAGACAATGCCCATAACCTCGCCCACGGCTTCTACGCCGACATGCGCAGCTCGCAGACTCCCCCGGCGTCTGCGCATGCCTCGCCGCGCTTCGCTGCCATATCGCCCACCAGCCAGCCGCGCCAGCCATCTGCCCACTACGAGCCCGCCGACCGCGACACGCCCTCGCGCAATGTAGCCGACGACACCATCGACGACGCCTACGCGACCTTTATCCTCTACTGCAACCCCAACTTCCCCACCACCATCGACACGAGCGAACTCGTCAAGCTGTTTCGGACGCCGCCCAAGAGCGACGGCAACGCATTCAACACATGGACGCTCTTCGAGCTGATACGCAAGCTCGACGCCAAAGAAATCAAGACATGGACACAACTGGCGCTGGATCTGGGCGTCAAGCCGCCGAACACGGACGAGGGACAGAGCACGCAGAAGGTGCAGCAGTACTCAGTCAGACTAAAGGTAAGAGCCTCAAATCCATTCACAGTCCTTATATCCGGCAATCGCCGAGTCAATTTCTACTCATTTTCCGAGTTCTGGCCCAGTGGGCTCCAACAACGTCTCATGCATGTCATCCGGGTCGTGCGGCGCAGTCGACTTCAGCCTCAAACGCCTCATTGTGATCCGAACCACCTACTTGGTATCCGGCGCAGTGTGCGAACCGAGCCACTCACTATGTGAGATATCTGAGATGTACTGTTCCTCACGACCTGGTCGAAGATGGGGCCTCTGCAGGTCAGAGGGGCCGCGCATTCCGACCTGGCCCCCAATCACTTGTCATTTCATACATCATTCCGACCTTTGCTAATCATCACAGCGATGGATGCGCGCCATGCA